TCTGTGGGCCCCGGGAAATGGGGGTGTGTTCGCGTCCAAGAGGGCGTGGCCCGCGTCCGGAGTGGGAGCAGCCGCCCCGCCCTGCCGGAGCAGGCTCCTCGCCCGCCCCAAACCGCAGCTTCCTCGGGAGCCCTGGACCGGGTCCAGGACACAGAGGAGGAAGCTCTGGTGACATTGTAGACACAGGCTTCCAGCAGCAGGCTTGGCCGGGAGCAACTGAGGAGGCGGCGCACCTCCGGCCGTCCAGCCAGGGACGCGGGGTGGGGGGCGGGGGGCTCTCTTGGCCGGGGAGGGGCAGGGCGGCCCCGCGGGCATCCTCCCAGGCCCTTGGCTTGGGCGTCCCGGCCCCTCCCTGGCTCCGCCCCTGCTCTTTAAGTCTGTCGGGGTCTGGGACGTTAGTGTGAGGAGGTCCCGGGAGTCAGGCCCTGGATGACCCAGCTGTTACCGTCCCCGAGCCATGGCTCTGGGGCCAGGAAGAGCATTGTCCAGCGTGGCCACCAGGCCCAGAGATGGCTGTCAGGACCGGCTGTTCGACGATGTAATGGAAATAAAGACAAAAATCCAAATGCAGCTGACCTCCAGCCCTCTCCTTTGTGTTTCCTGCGGGAGTGTGCCTGCCTTTGTCTCTGGGTCTCTCGTTAGAATTTCGGAGAAGGCTTGTTCGCCATGGAGGTGCTAGCATTGAAGCCTGAGAGATTGTTGGCTCTATGCGCAAATCAAGGAATTTAGGGGTAATCTGTGTTTGATGTCATGACAAACTCGAAAACTGTAATACGGAAAATTCTCTCCCAGATAAATTTAGAGCCTCAAGTAAACAACCCTTGTGGAAAAACAAATGTCTTCCCTCAGTCTCATGGGATGTCTTGTCCCCAAGCACCCACAGTGGCTGGCGCATGCTGGCCATCCATCAATGGCGCCCAGCAGGTGGTTGGGAAGATAAGGATCTTTGCAGTTAGCAGGGACCCTTTGGCTGGCCGATGTCCGAAGCCTCAGCAGCCTCACCACCCCACTCTTCAAGTCAAAGTTATATGACCCTAAATATAGCACAAATACTGTCCAAGACATCCTTCCACTGGGGTAGGAGGGTAGGACTAGAAACACAGGGGCCTCTGTCCCTGTGAACAAACAGCTACCGGACAGGCAGCCACGCCCGGCTACACATCCCCAGCAGTGCTCCCCACTCTGCCCGCAGCCCTGAGGTTTGAAGAACACTCAGGCAGGTACCTGGTTTGTCTGGCTCTGGGGTTTGGGGGAAGAGAGCCGCCATTCAGTGTTCCCAATAAGATCGGCCAGGGGGATGGGGTGGGGTTAGAGGGGCCACCTAGGGGCTGGGGTCTCCCTTCCACTGAAAGCTCACCGGGAAATGCCCTTGGACTTACAGGGCCTTGAGGGCAGGGACTGAAGCCGGGGGCTGTGAGGTCCAGGGAGAGTCCCTCATTAGCCTTCCTTTTCTGGCCAACCTCACTGGGGTTGGGTTTCACTTGGGTCACTTTAGAACTCTGTCACTGCTAGTCTTGCTCCTGGCAGGAAGCTGCCCTTCCCTGCCACCAATACCTTTTTCTTTCTCTTGGTCCAGAAAGGCCTACCCCATGGGTCCCAGTCTCTGGGCAGGGCTTCTCTCCACATGGAGCCACCTCCTTTGGTTGGGGCTGAGTAAGCAAAGAGGGTCCTCCACGTCCTCATCACATTTGAGCCAAGACCAACATTGTGTAGCTGTGTTGAATTTGTGGTCCACCCACCTTAAAGCCAATGGAAGTTATGGCCATCAACTGGACATTAGTTTCTACAACAGCCCACGTTAGCCCAGGTGTCAGGTTCAAGGTCAGCAGCTGCCCTGTCTGGACAACAGTTGTCCCTCTGTCTAGATCGCCCATTGGGTTGAACCAAGGGTTTTTCCCCAAACTGGAGATCCTCTGGCTGGTCCCATTTTTGTATGTCCCACCTTGTCACCTACTTAGGAGAAGCTCCAGTCTTGTGTGTCTTAGTGTCCTCCAGGGTCACTGTAGCTGTTTTCCTGTCTCTGGAGAGTCAAGAGGGAGGACAGGGCCCAATGGGCTAGGGCCATCTTAGTTGATAGTCCATCTGTCCAGAGAACACAGGTCTGCCTCCTGAATGGGAAAAAGGGTAGCCTCCCCAACCCTATGCTCATTAGGCTCTGCTGGGCTCAGCCAAATTAGTCCTCCCTCCCCCACTGCTCATATCTGTGCTTCTTTGCCCATTTTCCAAATGTACTGGTTTCGTTCAAACACACACACACACACACACAATCAATATAGTGCAAAAGGCCTACTGTACCCTGAACACAGGGACCAGGGCTGGGGGTTTGGGAGAGACGAAGGAAGCCCAGGCCTTCACTGCCCTTCGTTCCCAGGTCTACCAGCATGGTTGCATGCTAGGTTGCCTGGGGACCATGCAGCTGCTTAGGGCCCAGCCCTCCATGGCAGCTCCTCAGATCAGGTCTAGGATTTGGGACTTGGGCTGCTCAGGGTCCCATTCATTGGCCAAGCCAAGTCCCAGGTGTGAGCAGTGATGGTTTCAGAATCATCTAGATCAGAGTACCTTCTTGTGGCTGCCTCCATGGATTAGAAACAAAGCACTAGAGCTGCGTGCGTAATTTATAAAATAGCCTTTATTTATTCTAAGGAACACAGTCAAGTGGTAACTTAAAAAAAAAAAAAAAAAAAAACCCACACTTTTTAAAAGATGTTGTGACCTGGCTTCAAGCCCCGTGTGAGCAGGACAGTGGCAAAAGCCACGTGCCGTGGTTCGGCCGGTTCTCCCCTGCCCTGGTGGAGGTTGGGCATGGTTGGCCAAGCTCTCTCTCCAGTTGCTTATCATAAATAACCAGTTTTGAGGCTCCTGAAGAACAGAAGAAACATTTATGCTGCTGGTATTTGATCAAAAGATTACTTAGAATATAGTCGTTCCAGAAGTAGAAAAACGTTTTAAAGGGACCACTAATTTGTGCTGTTTATGGGGACTCCATATATTAGAATTTTAGCATTACTGTGGGAGCATCAGATATCTCTACAGATTCAGAAATTGCCAATTTATGTGAAATGGACTTCCTGATTTTACTTAATTAGTAAAGACATAGGAGTGACAGTTAAGGTAGTTACTGTTTTCGTTGTTTTTTTCAGCACGACGGTCTAATCAAAGAGTTTGTTTGAAAATGTTAGGGGATCTCACGGTCTAATCAAAAAGAGAGTTTGCTTGAAAATGTTAGGGGATCTCACGGTCTAATCAAAAAGAGAGTTTGCTTGAAAATGTTAGGGGATCTCCAGCCACCAGTAACCATCCTGGCTATCATACCAGAAAAACCCAAAACAGGCAGCACTAAGCTGTTTTCACAAGACTTCCTTTCTAATAAGCACACCACTTTCTCCCCCTCTCAGACGTGAGCCTCAGATGCCAAAATGCAGATGTGCCAACCGTAGGCATGTTGCTAAGCAAAGAAGGCTAGCAAGTCTGTCCCGCAAATTAGATTGTACAGTGGGTGGCATCTGCTTTGTGGCCTCCGACGGGATGAGGCTCTCTGTGCTCCCATCCTGCAGGTTGAAGCTGGTGCCCCTTACCGGGCATGAAGAAGGGTCCTTGTGGGTTAGAACATAAGGGCTTTGAGGAAAAACACAAAAAGACTTATTAAAACGGGAGGCCTATCCCTGGAAAGAGGCACACTGAGGCCTTGTTCCGTGCCCTGATGGCCTGTGGTTCTCATGCCCGGGGCTGCGAGGACCCCGGGCTGGCCGGAGCCATGGCTGGCCACCTTCTACTGCTTTGGGGGGTGCTAAGAGGACGCCGACCTCAACCCAGAGCCAGGGAGGGAAAAATCTCGAACATTTAAGACTGGGTTCAAAAGCCCCCGGACACCTTCTGTCTGCCTTCCCCCTGTATGGCATCTGGTTCGGGGCTGTGAATCAGAATTCAGAATCTGTGCTGCCCAGAGGGGACAGGCACAGCAGAGAGGAAACACCCAAATGTAATAAATAACGGCCGCTTGGGACCCTGCCCCTGGCCCTCCCCCAGCTAGGGCTGCGTGGGAGAGAGGGGTCTGCTGTTTCTTCCCAATTGGGGGGGACCCCACCCCCAAACCACCCTGCACTGCGCACTGCGTGCCAGGCAGGATCCGGCTGTCGCTTCTGCACAGGACAGAGCCTGAGTCGTTTGCTTTAGAGCATCATTTATGGCATGAACTAGGAACGTAATGTGTTTACACACACACACAATTGTACATCAGCATCTTTACAATATTAAAGGAGTCATATACAAGTCTACAGGCATCATACACAGCGTGGGGCCGGCTGGGGCACCCCTCCAAGACTTCCCCACCCGGGTGGAGCCAGTGTGGGGAAGGGGGACGGGGGGGGTGTCCATCTTTGTGCCTGTCGTCTGGGAGGACCCCTCGAGGCCGGTCCTTGTTGGAATCCGGAGCCCAGAGCCCCAGGTACACCTTGTGTCCCAGTCTCATCGGCAAGCTAGTGTAACAGTTTCATTCAAATTCAGTGTGCATATTAGTGTGGGAAAAGCGGAGCTGGGGATGGCTTCCTGAGCTGGGGACCCAGAAGATGCTGCTGACACATGGGCCCCTTCACCATGGGGCCCATTCCTGAGGTAAGGATGCGGTGTGGCCCCGTGGCTGGTCCTGGATGGGGAGAGACTTCTGTAGAAGCCCAGGTGTGAGGACACTCAGATAGGACTGGAAGTCCCCAGGGCATTGGTAGGTCAGGTGACTCACCAAGTGTGGCCTGCACCCTGGGTGGCAGCAAAGGGGAGGGTGTCAGATGGTTCCAGAGCCATCCGTCCCCCACACCCACACAGCCCTCCTCCCCGCAGCCCTGCCCCCTGGGGGCCCTGCTTCAGTTCCTACGGGCATTGCTGTTCTTGCGTCTGTCTCTGGAGCAGGGACCAGAAGTCTCCAAGCCCCACTCTGCAGGCACCTGAGCCCCAGGGCCCAGGAGCTCCTCTGCTGTACGGGGGGGCGGGGGGGGGGCACACTGCCCGTCCAGCTACGAACTGAGCACCAGATGAAGAAGCGTTGGTCCTTGTCAGCCTCTCTGGCTTGTGCAGTTAGTTTCTTCCATCCTAAATAGTGTAGAAAAATAAGCCATCTGTGACACAAGGAGACCCAGTGGAGACTGCCACGCGTGGAGAAGGATGAACGGCTCCTCCGGCGTGGGCCCGGAGGCCTCTGCTGACCCTGCCTCGGAGCAGGCCGTGCCTTGCCGGGCCGGGGAGCCGAAGTGCCCGGAGAACTGTTCCCACCGCAGCATCTTTGGGTCACATCAACGGTCCTTCGGTGGGCGTGCCTCCGGCATCCCACGCGCTGTTGCCAGGATACCTGCGGCTCCCCGGGCTGGCTCTGGACCCTCCAGCCCCACCCTCAGTCTCATGCCCACTGCTACGCAGGTAGAGGCAGAACTCCCCAGCACTGTTTCCAGGTCCCTGGGATGTCCCCAGGGCCAGACAGCCTCAGGCGGGCCCTGAGGCGGGGCCTAGTCCAGTGGCTCCTGCTTTATCCGGACCGCAGTGGGGGTGGGCTGCGGCCGCCGCTCCTCACGGCACAGCACGTACTCGCTGAACTGGGAAGAGTCCACGCCACCCCCACAGGATGCAGCCACACTGAAACCCCTCTGGAACAGCCTCTCCAGCACCTGCCGGGGAAGAAAGAAGGGTCAGCAATGCCCCGCTGCAAAAGAGTCTGCCTGGCGTGGCCTTGCGGGCAGGTGGCCATCAGCCAGGGCAAGCCAACCCTCCTGTTCAGATCTCAGGACAGACACCGCCCTGCAGAACCACCAGCTGAGCAACCACCGGGAGGACGGGAGCAGCCAGACCCCGGGTCCCCTTGAGTGACCAAACCTGGGAAAGGCTACCCCATCCTGCCCCTCTCAGGGGTCCACAGCCTTGATCCAGAGGCAGAAAGAGAGTTGGGGCCCCTTCTCTCTTCTCCAGGGTGTAACTGCCCCCCCGCCCCCGCCAGACATGTGGTCCCAGCCCCCCTCCCCCACCTCACTGAGGCCTGACTCAATAATAGAGACCCTGCCCCTGGCCTCTGGGCGGCCACCTGCTTCCCTGAGCTGTGAGTCCCAGATGGTTTGGGGCCTGGGGGCTTATCAGCTCAAGGGAACTCGGGATGGGGAGGAGGAGGCCTCTTGGTGCCTGAGTCTCTACAGGCCTCCGTGTCCACGTGGGTTTGTACCTCTGTGTGGGGGGGTCTCATCACTGTGTCTGACACCTGTGTCCCACGGGTAGCAAGTTCTGACTGACAGCCTGTGGAATGTGTGCATGGGAGGAGGGGGGAGGAGCACTTTCCCCCCCAGTGTCCACTCTGCCCTAAGCCTGAAATAGGAGTCTGCTCCTGGGTCTGGAAGAGCTGGTGCAGAATAGGCCCCATCCATCTGGGGTTCCCTAGCTCTGAGACCCATCTGAGGAAGGCCAGCTCAGAACGGCTCTGGGCAGCCGTCTGGGTGCCGGTGGCTACGGGTCAGCGGGGTGAGCAAGGAGGCTCCAGGCAACCTTCGCTCAGCCTCTGACCTGCCCCCTCCTACGACCTGGGTTTAATTTGAATCCAAAGGCAGACTCTGGGTGTCAAATGAAGCACACTTTGTTGAAAATACTCTGGGCCATTTTTATAGAACATCCTTTTGAAAAAAAAAAAAAAAGCACAGATCAATTTTTTTAAGTCCATCCCCCAGGCGCCATCATTTAATTATGAGCGGGACATAAATTATGCATCGACACATTGTTGCCTTTTCTGTAAGATGGCACGGAGGCCTTCACCGTTTCAGGGACCGCGCCTCCCTCCACCTATCCCCACTGCCGCCGGGGGCCCAAGGGGGGACGGCAGGGGGGAGGCGGGGCGGGCGCAGCCCTCACCTGCACCGAGTTGAGCCGGCAGTAGCCGTTGAGCGGGAAGCGGATGACATGCGTGGGGTCCTGGTTCCAGCCGGCGTTGACAGAGTTGCACATGACGTCCCCGGTCTCGGGGAAGACCTCCTCGATGAGGGCCTTCTCGCCACTGAGCGCAATGCGCTCGCCCAGGTCCGGCGTGACGCGCACGACGAGGCAGTCACAGGCGCGGCTGCGTCGGCGCTGCTCCTGCTCCTGCTGCCAGCGCTCCAGCTCGCGCACCATGGGCTGCAGCTGGTAGTACCGCGCCTCCTCGTACAGCAGGCTGAAGTCCTGCGGGCGCGCGCACACCGGATGGCCGCGGCCGGGGCTGCTCTTGCCCGCTCCGGCCCCCCACGCGCCCTGCCCCCCCCCCCGCCCCAGGGCTCAGTGCGGACTGCGATGGTCGTACCCATTGTACAGATGGGGAGAATGAGGCTCAGGTGAATGTGTGCAAGCCTTAACCCAGGAGTCTAGCCTTAACCCAAAGGCGGCAGCTGGTGTGCACCTTTGCCAGGTAACCTTGCGCTCTTCCATCCGGCCTCAAGTCTCTGGAGCAGAGAGGGGCCTCTGCAAAGACCAAGGGGGCTGCACTAGGGGAGCCTGAGGCCGTGCCTATGGCCTGCGGACCTGCTGCCTTCTTAGAATCCCAGAGAAGAGAGGCTGGGCCAGGCAGAGGGGAGCAGCATCCTCACCTGCCCGGGAGGAGCTCATAGCCCAGCAGGGAGGCAAAGCAGACCTGCCTGGGTGGGATTTTTGGCACGCTGTCTACCAGCCCTGAGGCCTCTGATCGTCAGTTACTGACCCTGTCAGAGCCTGTTTTACCGTCTATAAAGCGGACATAAACACCCAGCTTAGAGAAGGGGGTGAGGTCTAAGGGGCGACAAAATCTGCCAAGTGCCGGGCCCACCCTGCCCTAGCAGGCAGGTTGAGGAGGTGTCTGGGAGTGGGAAGCCCACCTCCCAGGCTGGCACGCTCACACCAGCTGTCCCCCAAACACATGCACGCCCATATCTGCCTGGGTCCTGAGTAGCTTAGGACCCCAGGACTTGGGCCACTCATTGGGGGCTGAGCTCAAGGCTGGCTGGTGAACCTGAGGACCCCTGGGGGAGAGGCAAGGAGGCCCAACCCCCAAAGCAGGGCCCACCCCCCAGGCCCTCAGTCCCTTCCACCTGTTGGCCCCAGCCTCTGGAACCACTCAGACGGAAGCCCAAGTTCTAGCCCCGACCCGGGCCTGGCGTCTAGCAGGGACCCAACCTGTCCCTCCACTGGGGCTCCTCAGGGCTCCCTCCTGGGTGTCTGCTCTCATCCACTCTCGAGGTTTTAAATGGTATCTGCACAAATTTTCCCTTAGAGCCCAGAACCTCTCCACCCGATGCCCCACCACCAATTCCATGCAAGAGTGAGGTACAATGCTCCCTCCAGCCTGTCCCACCCCTGGGCCTCCATGCATTCACTCAGGACCCAAGCCAGGAGGCCTCGACAGTCCCCTTACCCCCGACCGATCCACACCACGGCCTTCCATGGCCAATTCCTAAACAGAAATCTAATCTGCCACTTTGCTCTATCTTCGCTGCCTCCCACCTAGACCAAGGCCATCAGGAAACCTCGCTTGGCCTCCTGCTCCCACCCCTCACCCTCACTGCAGCCTTCCCCATACAGCAGCCAGGGCTGTCCTTCCGACTTGCAAACCCGATTGTCATTCCCTGCTCACAACCCTTCCATTGCATTCCAGGTAAAATGCCAAATGCCGAGCTAGCCACCAAGGTCCTACCTCAAAGGGCAGCCTCCTTTCCCCTCCCCCTTCATACAGTCCCAGGCTGACACCTTCTCTCTGGTTCTGGAAGGTACCAAGCTTCTTGCCACCCTGCCCCCTCATCAAGGCTCTTACACTTGTTTGGCCCTGTTCCTCCTTCACCCAGAGAAGCAGCCTTCTCTCCAAACCCCCCAGGGGCCAGGTTCTCCATGGTTCCCCTTCACCACATTCTCTACTTCTATAGAATATTTGCCCCCCAGGGAATTCATGCCTTTTTTTTTTTTTTTGGTTCAACACCTGTCTTTCACTAGATTATAAGTGCTATGGGGACAAGACCCAGGTCTGCATATTTCACTGTATCTTTGGCCTGACTTTGGTTGTTGGCACCCAGTATCAGTTGGATGGAGGACAAAACAGCCCCAGGGCCACTGGGTCTCTGGGGGAGGGAGAAAAGGAGGGAGGGAGGGAGGGAGGGAGGAAGGGAGGAAGGGAGGGAGGAAGGAAGGAAGGAAGGAAGGAAGGAAGGAAGGAAGGA